GTGATCGATGAGCTGGGTGCTGTGCCGGGGCCTTTGCTGCATGCAGATGCACTGCGCACGACCTACGGCAGGGCGTTGCGCTACAACCTGGACCCCACGAAGTACATGCGCCCGCAGGAGACGTGGGGACGCATGCCTGTGAAGATCTTGTGCGGGGACTTCTACCAGTTGCCGCCAGTCCCCGCCACCGCTTCCCTGCTGGCGCCTCACGCGGGCCAATCCTACGAACACCAACAGGGTAGGAAGTTGCTCGCCGACATCGAGTACGTCATCGATTTCGTGCAGATGCAGCGCTTTACAGACCCGTTGCAACTCGAGGTTCTCCACGCCATGAGAACTCCAGGCGGAAAAAAGATCTCTGACGAGAGCTGGCAGGCGATCGTCAAAACAGAGGTCGTTAGCTCTAGCGGTGCTGCTCAGCCTGCTGCCAGCAGCAGCGAAGCCGCTCAGCCACCTCAGTGGGACCCTCGGTTGCGTGCAGCACGAGGCTGGTACGAGTCGGCCTATGAGTGGCGCATCGTCTCTTACGCCATGCATGCACAGGCCAAGCTTGATGCGCACGATGCTGGCCAGCTGCTCTTTTACGTCCCAGCAATCGACAGACCAGCTGCGCGCCTCGCGAAGCCTGATTTCGACGAGATGCGCGCGGAGCCCAACATCGGCGCTACCGCAAAAATGCCGGGGCTGCTGCCGCTCTTCGTTGGCATGGAGGTCATCCTGACAGAATCCGTCTTGCCGCCGAAGTATGTCCGTGGCGCGCCAGGCAAAGTGGTAGGCATAGAGCTGCACGCTCTGGAGCCTCCGGTGGAGGGCCGCCCGTCCATTGTCTCGGACGGTGTGGTCGTACTCTACTACATGCCAAAGGCCGTCTATGTCAAGATCGATGACAGCGATGAACTTTTCTTGAAGGCCGCGCCGGTGACAGCTGGCAGTGCTTCTCAGCCTGCCGGCCCCGACCTGCGCGGAGTGCTCGCGATCACCCCGCAGGCGCGCCCCTGGAAGTTCAAAGCGAAGACAGGTGGCCCGGCCATCGCGGTGTCCAGGACGCAGTTGACCGTGCTGCCCAAAAAGCAGGGGACTCTGCATGGCGTCCAGGGCAAGACGACGGACCCAGGCTTCATCGTGCACTGGACGTTTCCGCCAGGACTCAAGAAGGAGTCCATTTGGCTTGCCTACTACGTCAGCCTGTCGCGCCCCAGAAGCTTCAACCAACTCTTGAGCCACGGCTTGCCTGACCGGAGCATCATCGAATCCGGCCCCCCGGAACAGATCGCCAAGGCCTTCGCCGAGCTCTTCACGGACAAGATTGCCGCGACGAAGATCGCTTGCGCGAAGGCCCGACAGCAACTGGGATGGCCTGCGCGAGCTTGAGGAGCCATGAGATGCAGGTTGCGTTGTGGCGGTGCTGTTCAGTCTGTCCGTCTGCATTCGCGTGGTGCTTCTCAGCCTGCATGCGCGTGGTGCTTCTCAGCCTGCGCTCGTGTGCAGCTGTGCGCGGTGAGCCTGCACGTGTCGCGGAATGCTTTTCAGCCTGCGCGTGTCTGCAATGCTTTTCAGCCTGCACGCTTTGCAGCTTCTCCGCTTCGCACGCTGCTCCTCAGCGCGGTCCTCTGAAAAAAGGACAGTCATCATCTCATCGTCGCACTCATCATCGCACTCATCATCATCATTCATTGCCAGCGTTGATAGCAGTGTCTCCTTTTTACACGACTGCCACCATTCATAGCAGTGTCTCGTTTTGACACATTTCCAGCGTTGATAGCAGTGTCTCCTTTTTACAGGACTCCGAACTACAACTACTACTTCACTGTTACCACTGTTTCATCTTTCCTGCTCTTATTGCTAATACTACTGCGAGTGTTACTGCTGCTGCATGCCTCCAGCTATGCTACTACATATCGATGTTAGGTTGCTTTGCCGGGATAATTTTTCTAAGTTGACTTTCTCGCCTCGGCGCCGAGCACAATTTTGGCAGCATCCTCATAGCGATTGGAGCCTCGCTGGGACTGCGGGGGTCGGCAAGGCCTGCGCGCGGCGTCCGCCGTCTCCAAGGACTCCTATATATATATATATATATATATATATATATATATATATATATATATTCTTCAATCGGAATTCCTTAGTGAAAACTCCTTAATACACATTCCTTACTCCGATTTCTGAACTACAGATTCCCTCGAACATAGTCCTTAATAGAGGATCCCAAATAAAAATTCCTTAGTCCAAATTCCTTACATTGTGTAATCCAAAACCCGGACAACAGGGGCAGTCTGGGCCGGAAAAAAATGTAGGAAACAAAAAACACGCACACACCTCCTCCTCCTCCTCCTCCTCCTCCTCCTCCTCCTCTTCCGCCTCCTCCTCCTCCTCCTCCTCCTCCCCTCCTCCCCTCCTCCTCCTCCTCCTCCTCTTCTTCCTCCTCCTCCTCCTCCTCCTCCTCCTCTCCTCCTCCCCCATCTCCTCCTCCTCCTCCTCCTCTTCCTCCTCCTCCTCCTCCTCCTCCTCCTCCTCCTCCTCCTCCTCCTCCTCCTCCTCCCTATGGCGCTACGACCCCAGTGAAAAAGGGAGTGTCGAAATGGTTGACATACAGAGGGCAGAGGCCATGGAAGGAGGAATGAGGAGGAGAGGAGGAAGGAAGGAACGCTGGGCGCTGTCTCTTCAAAACGAGGACCCAACACCACAGGATGGTAGGGATAAAACGTACAACGAGAAACAAACACACGAAATCAGAGATCCAAGGGAACAGTCAAACACCACTAGGAATAAGGTCTGACCCTGCATTTAACACTATGTACATGCAGGGTCAGGCTAACGCCTGCGAGAAACTCGCCTCATTTCCATTCGGAATGCCTTCGCCATTCTATTATTCGGTACCTGTTTTTTTTTGTATGTTGAGTGCTAAGAAAAGGCAACGAGGTGCAGCTCAAATGAAGAAACGTGCCAACATCCCAAGATATGGGTACTGGTATCCGCCATGCAGGCACTGGCTAGATAGGAAGGGAAGAGGGCAAATAAGAGGAACATACATGAACAATGACGAAAGATGCCATACTGAACTAGGTCCACATAGCTAGAGATCAATTATATTCCTCAATATCTATTCCTCAATATCTTGCTCCAATCACTTCCCCCCTCGCTCCCCCTCAGCCTCATACTCTTCCTCATCTGCCTACATTCCACCCCCCCTCCCCCGCGGTTGTCCTCATCTTACTGATTACCTCGGTTTCTTTGACGCTAGATGCAACTGGTTTGGATGCATGCGACATTCTTGCGCGTGCGAAGCATCAGTCCGCTCCACTTGTTGCGACCCCACATGCAAGCGCGACCTCCCTCCCAAAACAAACAAACATCTCAACCGTTCTTTCAACCTAACTTGCAAAGGTATGTCATGCTTAGTGCCTGCTAGGCTGGACCGTCCCGAAAAACAAACTCAGGACGGCCGAGGTGACATGCGACGGCGTTCTGACATTCACTCCAGCTGTCAACGCACACACACATTGTTCCTAAATGCCGTTCGACTCACATGTTACTGCCTCCAATCGCCTCTCAAACACTCGCCTCCGATTTTAGTGGGCTGGCACGGTGACGGGACCTGCCGCAGGCTGCTGGATAGTCCGGAGAGCTCACCTTGTGCAGCATGCCGTCGTAGACGTGCCCGGAGCCCCCGCTCCCGAGCACCTCCTGGTGAACGACCGGCATGGTCTTTCTCCTGCCGGGGGGGGGGGCCAAGGGTAGTGTAGGCCCGGAGAGGTGGGGTTAGAGGACCCCTGGGCCAAACGTTGGGTTCGCTCCCCAACCCCACCTTGGGCTAACTCTCCCTCGACGCACCCAGAGCCCCGACGTAGTGTTTTTTCAAGACGTCCACCCCCGGCGGTCTGGACCTTTTTCCCTTGGACCGGTTTTCCATCTCGAGCCACTTTTTGACGCTCCTGGGCCCCGGCGAAGGCCCCCAGAGGCCGCAAACTATTGAAAGCCTGTCTTGATTTGCTCAAGACGTCAAGACGTTGGAGGTCTGGGTGCGTTCTCTCGATTGGATTTCTTCAACCCGCGGTCCCAAAACTCCCGACAGCTCCCCCAGGGGTAGCTTCATGTCCCGGATCCAATTTTGATAGTCCTGGGGGCGAATTTTTTTGGGGGGGATTCCTGGGACATGAAAGTCTCCCTCGAGGGACGAAACCGAGGACAAATGCCAGGATTGGCAATCGCCGGGTCGAATAAGAAACCGGCCTGCCAGCAGGCACCCCGCGGAAGTTTCTTACACCTCGACGGACCTGGGGACTCACAGAAGCCCTGGGGCCCCTCGGGAAACTCAAAACTTGATGACAAACGTGCCTCTAGGTTCCTTATAGCGGGATTCTGCTGTACCTATTGAGTCGGACTTTGCTCAAACGCTAGGTGCAATTCAGTAGCGATGTCGTCCTTGGCGGGCTCAACTGCAGAGCAACCTGCGGCACGGGAGACCAAGGCTCTGGCGAGAAAATCCCCCAGGACTTCGCAGTTCTATGAAGCCTGGCAAATATAGACAGCTAGCTAGATAAATGCACAAATAAGAAGAGTGCGAGAGAGAGAGAGAGAGAGAAAGAGAGAGAGAGAGAGAGAGAAAGAAAGAGAAAGAGAGAGGAACAACAACAAAACAAAACATGTTGAGTGAATCCAATAGAACACCTGGCGTCCGTGTCACGGTGGACAATATCCTCCCTCCCGTTTCCAGGTGAAGGTGAACAGCTTTCGGAACAGCGATCGTTGCACCCTCCTGCCGAGGACGATTTTGCCACGGGTCGCAAACTTCCTGAGGCTCCCGGACCGACGTCGTGACTTTTTCCATACGGGGTCCCAAGAACTCAAGACCACGTCCCGAGGATCAGTTCTTCGTCCCAGACCGTTTTTTGCTGGCCCCGGGGCCTGGCGATGGCCCCCAGACGCCGAAAAAGACGAAACACCTCTCTGTCTTGCTTTCCTACATGCGCTGGAGGTCTGGGGTGCCCTCGGTCCTGGACCGGTACAGCAGCCCCGCGCTGGCGCTCTGGAGCCTGCCGCTGGAGCGGTACCCCCCCGCGGCGCTCTCGGCCACGAAGCCCGACTCGTTGTACTCCAGGAGCTCCCGGCGGCCGCCGTTGTGGTCGCCCACGGCGGGCTGCTCGGCCGCGTCCTTGCGGATGGCCTCGTAGGCCGCCTGCCGGTCGAAGGAGAAGCCGCCGGCCTGGGGAGAAAGACCAGAAAACCCTAGAACGACTTCACTAGGACATGATGATGACGATGACGATGACGATGAGGATGACGATGACGATGATGATGATGATGATGATGATGATGATGATGATGATGATGATGATGATGAAGATGATGATGATTATGGTGATGCTAATGATGCTGACGATGATAGTTGTGGTGGTGGTGATGATGATGATGATGATGATGATGATGATGATGATGATGATGATAATGATGCTGACGATGATAGCAATGATGATGCTGATGCTGATGCTGATGCTGATGCTGATGCTGATGCTGATGCTGCTGATGATGATGATGCTGATGCTGATGATGATGCTGATGCTGACGCTGATGCTGCTGATGCTGCTGCTGATGATGACGAGGAGGAGGAGGCGGAGGAGGAGGAGGAGGAGGAAGCTGATTAGTATGATGATACTGATGGTGATGCTGATAATGCTGATGATGCAGCTGGTGGTGATGATGATGATGATGATGATGATGATGATGATGATGATGATGATGATGATGATGATGATGATGATGATGATGATAATGATGATGAGGAGGAGGAGGAGGAGGAGGAGGAGGAAACGTGAGGGATGAGGGGGAGGAGGAGGCGGAGGAGGAAACGGAGGGTGAGGGGAGGAGGAGGAGGAGGAGGAGGAGGAGGAGGAGGAGGAGGAGGAGGAGGAGGAGGAGGAGTAGGAGGAGGAGGAGGAGGAGGAGGAGGAGGGAGGAGGAGGAGGAGGAGGAGGAGGAGGAGGAGGAGGAGAGAGGAGGGAGGAGGAGGGAGGGGAGGAGGAGGAGGAGAGGAGGAGGAGGAGGAGGAGGAGGAGGCGGAGGAGGAGGAGGGGGCGAGGAGCAGGAGGAGGAGGAGGAGGAGGAGGTGGAGGAGGAGGAGATCAGGGCCTCGCAGCACCACTCGCGACGGCTACGTTTCGCAGCTCCCGGCCTCCGCGGGCCGCTCCCCGGCCCCCGGGGCCGCCGCGCCAACCAGCTCGGGATGAGGAGCGGGCCCCAGGGAAGCGGTCGAGGTCGGAGGGCGGCTGCCCGTACAGCCGGACTTGATCGGAGAGGACACGCGAGAGGACACGAGACCCTTCCGAGGGCCACGTTGCCACAGTCATGCAGGAGGCACGGGTCGCAAGACACAGGACACGAGGGTACCCCTGATCTGGCAGGGTCGAGCTACCCATCCGGCCCCAGGGAAGCGGTCGAGGTCGGAGGTCGGCTGCCCGTAGGACGAGGTCGGGCACGTCCCCCTACAGGCGGATTTTGGACGAAGAATAAAATTATCCCGGCAAAGCAACCTAACAGCGATGTGTAGGAGCATATCTGGAAGCATTCCCCTTAAGCTTCGGATGAGAATCCAGTTGTAGAATTCTGCTGTTCTCGCAGTCGTAGTCGCATTCGCGATGACAGTCGCAGTGGCAACGGCAGTCGCAGTCACAGCCTCAGCCTCAGCCTGCCTAAGCCTCAGCCTCAGCCTGCCACAGCCTCAGCCTGCCTCAGCCTCAGCCTCAGCCTGCTTCAGCCTCAGCATCAGTCTGCCTTCAGCCTCGGCCTCAGCCTCAGCCTGCCTCAGCCTCACCCTGCATCAGCCTCAGCCTCAGCCTCAGCCTGCCTCAGCCTCAGCCTGCCTCAGCCTCAGCCTCTGCCTCAGCCTCAGCCTGCTTCAGCCTCAGCCTCAGTCTGCCTCGGCCTCAGCCTCAGCCTGCCTCAGCCTCAGCCTGCATCAGCCTCAGCCTCAGCCTCAGCCTGCCTCAGCATCAGCCTGCCTCAGCCTCAGCCTCAGCCTGCCTCAGCCTCAGCCTCAGCCTGCTTCAGCCTCAGCCTCAGTCTGCCTTCAGCCTCGGCCTCAGCCTCAGCCTGCCTCAGCCTCAGCCTGCATCAGCCTCAGCCTCAGCCTCAGCCTCAGCCTCAGCCTCAGCCTGCCTCAGCCTCAGCCTCAGCCTGCTTCAGCCTCAGCCTCAGTCTGCCTTCAGCCTCGGCCTCAGCCTCAGCCTGCCTCAGCCTCAGCCTGCATCAGCCTCAGCCTCAGCCTCAGCCTGTCTCAGCATCAGCCTGCCTCAGCCTCAGCCTCAGCCTGCCTCAGCCTCAGCCTCAGCCTGCTTCAGCCTCAGCCTCAGTCTTGCCTTCAGCCTCGGCCTCAGCCTCAGCCTGCCTCAGCCTCAGCCTGCATCAGCCTCAGCCTCAGCCTCAGCCTCAGCCTGCCTCAGCATCAGCCTGCCTCAGCCTCAGCCTCAGCCTGCCTCAGCCTCAGCCTCAGCCTGCTTCAGCCTCAGCCTCAGTCTGCCTTCAGCCTCGGCCTCAGCCTCAGCCTGCCTCAGCCTCAGCCTGCATCAGCCTCAGCCTCAGCCTCAGCCTGCCTCAGCATCAGCCTGCCTCAGCCTCAGCCTCAGCCTGCCTCAGCCTCAGCCTCAGCCTGCTTCAGCCTCAGCCTCAGTCTGCCTTCAGCCTCGGCCTCAGCCTCAGCCTGCCTCAGCCTCAGCCTGCATCAGCCTCAGCCTCAGCCTCAGCCTGCCTCAGCATCAGCCTGCCTCAGCCTCAGCCTCAGCCTGCCTCAGCCTCAGCCTCAGCCTGCTTCAGCCTCAGCCTCAGTCTGCCTTCAGCCTCGGCCTCAGCCTCAGCCTGCCTCAGCCTCAGCCTGCCTCAGCCTCAGCATCAGCCTGCCTCAGCATTCAAAATGTGGCCCGGGAATGGAGTTCTGGGAACTCGAAGAACACGAAGTGGCCTACAGTTGGCTCCGGGCATTCAAAATCATGCCCAGGAATGGAGTTCTGGGAACTCGAAGACCACGAAGTGGCCTACAGTTGGCTCCGGGCATTCAAAATCATGCCCAGGAATGGAGTTCTGGGAACTCGAAGACCACGAAGTGGCCTACAGTTGGCTCCGGGCATTCAAAATCATGCCCAGGAATGGAGTTCTGGGAACTCGAAGACCACGAAGTGGCCTACAGTTGGCTCCGGGCATTCAGAATGTGGCCCGGGAATGGAGTTCTGGGACCTCGAAGACCACGAAATGCGTTACTGTTTGTTAAAAAAAATCCCCGGCACCCTCCCCCGGATCGCGCCCAGACCCCCCTGGGGCGTCATGATGCTCTCTTTTGATTCTACTAGAAACCTATCAGTCTTCGCTGTTAGGTAAATACCCCAAGATACTCTTAAAACGGCCAAGAAGTATTCAAACAATCGTTCCAGAGAATTGTTTGTTCCTTCGCAGGAGTGACCTTTGGGTGCGGGCCCATTGTAGAAGGCAGAAAATCCAGCCCGATGATAACCACCCCGACACGCGAGGCCTCCAGTAAACGCGCCCAAAGAAGGAATCGATCAGGGCAGGGCTGTTTAGTAAACGCCCAGGACCGTTTAGTAAACGCCACTTGTTGTTCCTCCCTTGACATTGGGGTCCCCCGATCGCCGAGCGCGACTGTAATGGTAGCGGCCTGCGAGTGTGTGTTTGGTCCCCCCGCGGCGCCCAAGAAGCCTCGCACCAGAGGTCACTCTTACCCAGGGTCACGCTTGCGTGTAGCCGAGGAGGGAGGAAGAAGAATCTTGAGATCCGGGCGTCGATGCAAAACCTGTTTAATCGGCGGCGTCTCGGGTGCGAGTTGCGGAACGGCTGCGCTGGGACATGTGCGGAGCGAATTGGGGCGCGAGGGAAACAGGGCAGGCGCGAGGACAAAGAGGCGACGACCGCGCGCGGTCGGGGGGCTCTGAGCACGAAGACCGTCGGGATGTGCCGCAGCAGGCTCGGCGTGCAGCTCGGCGTCGCATCAAAACTCGCAACGTCTACGTTTCGCAATTCTCGGCCTCCGAGGGCCGCTTAGGAGGAGGAGGAGGAGGAGGAGGAGGAGGAGGAGGAGGAGGAGGACGACGAGGAGGAGGAGGAGGACGAGGAGACCGTCGGATAACGACTGAGGGCGAAGAGCCGCTGGCCGCGGGGAAGTGCTCGACATCCCCAGCAGGGTGAAGAGGCGGGTCGAGGAGCAGGAGGTGCGCTCGTGAAAACGTGCTGGGGCAGGGAGGGGGGGTGAGGGCACGGCCATGTGCACCTTAGCGCGCTTGCTCTGGAGGGATCGTGGCCGCCCGGACCAACCACTGTGGCCAGCATTGGGGCGAGAGCAGTATTATAAGACGGACAAAAACATAAACATAAACTTTTGGCGCTCCGCGCGGATTTCGTGGATTCGCGCTGGACTCCCTCCCTGGCGCGCGGAGTGCGCCAGGGGCGGATCCAAGAAATTCGCGCGGAGCGCCACAAGTTTGTGTTTATGCGGTTGTTTCTCCTTCCAATTGTGCCCTCGCTCCAATTGAACTATTCCTGAATATATAATGAGGGATGTCTCAAGCGAAACGGCTGCCAGACCAGGCGATCTAGGGAGGCGGTCCAAGACTCCCTGTCCCCCCTGTGGGGCTCCTCTGCTGCACTCTGTGCCGCCATGAAGACCCTCCAGCGAAACGCTGGTGGACAAATCATGAGATCCGGGCGTTGCAACAGAACTCGCGACGGATATTGTTCGTAGTCTTCGGCCTCCGCAGGCTTTGCATGGCCCAGGAACAAATACAAAATGACTCAGGATGGAAAGCGGATCCAGGGAAAGTGGTCGAGATCCCCAGGAGGAAGAAACTCGCCATCGCTCGGACGGGAGGGGAGGGGGAGGGAGGGATGCGCAAAAGGAGGGGAGGGGAGGGGAGAGGAGGGAGAGGAGGGAGAGGAGGGAGAGGAGGGAGAGGAGGGAGAGGAAGGAGAGGAGGGAGGGAGAGGGAGGGAAAGGGAGGGAGAGGGAGGGAAAGGGAGGGAGAGGAGGGAGTGGGGAGGGAGAGAAGGAGAGGAGGGAGAGGAGGGAGGGGAGGAAAGTGTCAAGGGGCCTTAGCAGGAAGAAGCTCGCCATCGCTCGGACGTCCATTCCCCACGCGTTCTTCGTTCTCGTGCGCGCCTGTTCTCGCAAGAGGACGACCCAGGATGCTCCTCGACGGTCCTCGCCGAAGAGAAACAAATAGCCACACGTCCGAGCGATGCCAAGGTCCCGGGAAAGTGGTCGGGATCCCCGGGGGCCTTGGGAGGAACGGGCCCCCTGATCTCCGAGAATCTCCTTTTTTGTTGTTGTCTTTTTTTTCCCAACCATCCTGTGGTGTTGGGTCCTCGTTTTGAAGAGACGGTGGTCCGCGTCTCCTCCTCCTCCTCTCCTCTCCTCTCCTCCTCCTCCGCCCTCCTCCCTCCTCCACACCCATTTCGGCACACCCCTCACACGTTTCGTGGCCCCATAGGGAGCTCCACCGAAGGCCCCATGGCTGCCGTCCGCATGCGTCCCGCACACCCATTTCGGCACACCCCTCACACGTTTCGTGGCCCCACAGGGAGCTCCACCGAAGGCCCCAGTGCTGCCGTCCGCATGCGTCCCGCACACCCATTTCGGCACACCCCTCACACGTTTCGTGGCCCCATAGGGAGCTCCACCGAAGGCCCCATGGCTGCCGTCCGCATGCGTCCCGCACACCCATTTCGGCACACCCCTCACACGTTTCGTGGCCCCACAGGGAGCTCCACCGAAGGCCCCATGGCTGCCGTCCGCATGCGTCCCGCACACCCATTTCGGCACACCCCTCACACGTTTCGTGGCCCCACAGGGAGCTCCACCGAAGGCCCCAGTGCTGCCGTCCGCATGCGTCCCGCACACCCATTTCGGCACACCCCTCACACGTTTCGTGGCCCCACAGGGAGCTCCACCGAAGGCCCCAGTGCTGCCGTCCGCATGCGTCCCGCACACCCATTTCGGCACACCCCTCACACGTTTCGTGGCCCCATAGGGAGCTCCACCGAAGGCCCCATGGCTGCCGTCCGCATGCGTCCCGCACACCCATTTCGGCACACCCCTCACACGTTTCGTGGCCCCACAGGGAGCTCCACCGAAGGCCCCAGTGCTGCCGTCCGCATGCGTCCCGCACACCCATTTCGGCACACCCCTCACACGTTTCGTGGCCCCATAGGGAGCTCCACCGAAGGCCCCAGCGTCCGGCATGCCCCGACCGAAGGCCCCAGCACCCATTTCGGCACACCCCTCACACGTTTCGTGGCCCCACAGGGAGCTCCACCGAAGGCCCCAGTGCTGCCGTCCGCATGCGTCCCGCACACCCATTTCGGCACACCCCTCACACGTTTCGTGGCCCCATAGGGAGCTCCACCGAAGGCCCCAGTGCTGCCGGCATGATTTCGGCACACCCCTCACACGTTTCGTGGCCCCATAGGGAGCTCCACCGAAGGCCCCATGGCTGCCGTCCGCATGCGTCCCGCACACCCATTTCGGCACACCCCTCACACGTTTCGTGGCCCCACAGGGAGCTCCACCGAAGGCCCCAGTGCTGCCGTCCGCATGCGTCCCGCACACCCATTTCGGCACACCCCTCACACGTTTCGTGGCCCCATAGGGAGCTCCACCGAAGGCCCCATGGCTGCCGTCCGCATGCGTCCCGCACACCCATTTCGGCACACCCCTCACACGTTTCGTGGCCCCATAGGGAGCTCCACCGAAGGCCCCAGTGCTGCCGTCCGCATGCGTCCCGCACACCCATTTCGGCACACCCCTCACACGTTTCGTGGCCCCACAGGGAGCTCCACCGAAGGCCCCATGGCTGCCGTCCGCATGCGTCCCGCACACCCATTTCGGCACACCCCTCACACGTTTCGTGGCCCCACAGGGAGCTCCACCGAAGGCCCCAGTGCTGCCGTCCGCATGCGTCCCGCACACCAGGTGTGTGGCGTGCCGACATGGGCGTCGCGGCGCGCGGGCGCTGCCGTCGGGGTTCCCAGGGAAGCCCCCTGCAGAGGCGACGCTCAGAGTCACGAGTACCGAGAGTCACGCAGACCCAAACTGTTCACAGTCGTATACATACATTTACACTGGGCGTATCCATGCACGCATTCATGCGAATAGAATCAATCGCGCGCAGATTCATTCATAATCAGACTCGCTCGCGATCCGACTCGCACGCGCTCAAGCTTTCATATTCGGACCTATCGTCTTCGTTCGTGTTGTGTACACTGCCACGCATTTCGGCACACCCCTCATACGGCTCGTGGCCCCATAGGGAGCGCCACCGAAGAAGATATTCACAATTGCGGTACTCTCAACTGCATATGGTTGGGTCCTTCGCCAGGCTAATTCTCCTCCATCACGGAGGGGCAACGATAGGGGGGGGACTGGCACAGGGGGGGATGCATCGACCTGGAATCGGCGATGCATCGCCGGGAGATCGGCGATAGGCCTCCGATCGTGAATCCGCACCTCCCTGGGCAGGTTGGGACCATCGGGCCCCTATCGGCGATCAATTGGCGATTGGGGGTCGATGCATCCCCCCCCCCCTGTGCCCATCCCCCCCTGTCGCTGCCCCTGAAACACACGGCGCGGCTTTCCCTCGATCTCGGCCTCCGGGGCCCCCAGGGGCCATCAGACCTGGATCCCAGACGAACGCCCGTCCCTGGGGAAGAGCTTGGGACGCACACCCGCCCCTGGGTATCTCAGACGAACGCCCGCCCCTGGATCCCAGACGAACGCCCGCCTGGACCCCAGACGAACGCCTGTCCCTGGGGAAAAGCTCGGGACGAACACCCGTCCCTGGATATCTCAGACGAACACCCGCTCCTGGGTCCCAGCCGAACGCCCGCCTGGATTCCAGACAAACGCCCCGTCCCTGGGCCGCGGATTGAACAAAAACTCGCGTCGTCGGATGCCCGGGAAGCTGCACAAGCACAGGCTCCGCGCGGATCTCGATCGGCACCGGCGCCGCCCCTGGCCCGCTTCGCGCGCCAGGGATGGGGGTCCCGCGCCGATGCACGAAATTCGCGCGGACCTCCGAGAATGTGTATGGTAGGTTCATGTCGTGTCGACCAGCGGCGACCCCGCCAGCGACGTTCAATTTTGTACGCCGCGGGCGACCCATAATCGTTCGATGTGGAACGATTTGGACGTTTCGGAAATGGCCGCTCGTTCAAGGTTGAACGATCCCCGCGGTGTCAGAAACCAACGCCGAAGTCGGCACGACACGAACCAGACGTATGTTTATAGCTTGTCGTTCTCCGAGCCTCGCTTTTCACGATGGCGTCGGCCAGGGACACGTCGCTCATGGTGCCCACCATGGAGTCGCGATTGCCAGGCGAGGCCCACTGTGGAATCCACCCGTTTTCCTTGTACGCGTTCACCCAGCCATCCATCAGGTGCCCGAGGTTCTCTGGGAAGAGGACCGAATTCAGGGGGTACACTGTGTGGTACGCGTCCCAGAAGCCGCTGTCCACGACCAGCTTCCCAGGCTCGACTTTCCCGTTGAAGGGGCTGTAGTGCACCTCATTGCCATGCTGATCCGTCTCCTTAGAAGAGAAGACCGTTGCACAAACATAAACTTTCGGAGCTCAGCGAGAATTTCTTGGATCTGCGCTGGACCACCCTGGCGGCGCACCCGGCGCCGCCCGCGCGGAGCTCCGAAAACTTTCTGTGTATGCCGTTGTTTCTTCCTCGACTCCTGCAGGAAGCGGGGGAACAGCATCGACTTCCAGAGATTGGTGTAGAAGACCTTGTGCTGCTCGTCGTCCTGCATCTCCACCGACACGCGCCCCAACGCCTGCGACCAAACAGAGCGGCCCTCCTCCACGACCTCGTCGAACGGCCTGTCGGAGACCTCCTGTCGTTAAGGGCTCAACGACTTCGGCCGGGCCACGATTCGCTCCAAGTCTCACTGAAGATCTCTGAATCTATTTGGATTCACCTGGATTTTCAAGGACCTGGATGGATCTGCACTTGCCTTGATTTCTCCAGCTTGATCCCCGCACGACGATTGGCGAAACGTCGTCAAGCCCTTTGGGATCCTGCATCAGGTTGTGCGCGGCCTGCTCCAAGGAGACCAGGCTGGTGGCCACCCCGAACTCGACCGTGCCGGCGTCGGGGCCGAACACGAGCCTGAGGCGGGAGAGCACGGCGAGAGGTGGGGAGGAGGGAGGGAGGAGGAGGAGGAGGAGGAAGAGGAGGAGGAGGAGGAGGAGGAGGAAGAGGAGGAGGAGGAGGAGGAGGAGGAGGAGGAGAGGAGGAGAAGGAGGAGGAGGAGGAGGGGACGAGGTGGAACAAAGGGAGGGTGACAGGACAGGACAGGCGCCGATGTGCGCCCTGGGGGCCGGCCATCTAAGAGCTCGGCGGGTGCGCCGGAGCGCCGAAACTCAGATGTCGCAGTACATGGTTACTTTACGATCTCGAATGTGTACTATTGGTACCACTGGTACAATCCTTCCCATGAGTCTGAACATGCAACGTCTGAACAAAGGGAGGGAAGGAGTCCGAGAGGAGGGGAATGGGCAGGCTAGGGGGTGGGCCAGGATCCAGACCCCCCACGTCCAGAGTTGTGCACAGCGTGGACCCCCAGAGGTCTGGACCCCTTCCCCGGAACCTGCTTTTCATCCCAAGTCGCTTTTTGACGGTCCCAGGGCCCAGCGAGGGCCCCTGGAGGCCGAAAGTATAGAAAAACCTTCCGTCGTGATTTTTTGTCACGACGCGAGGGGGTCTCAGAGGGGACTGAGATGGAGTGGATCGCCAACTCGGCGCTGGGGCAGAAGCTCGTGGGGCCGCCTGGAGAGGGCGCACGAGCCGTAGCGCAGCCCGCCGGGGACGCAGCCCGCGTCCTCGACTCGCACGGGCGGCCTGCTGAAGTTCATGACGAAGAACAGCTTGAACCCATCGGGGATCTGGCCCTCGCAGCAGGACGACCAAACAGCGTAAACACGCATTGTCTCTCGGGCCCCGGGACCATCACAGATCGTTCCAGCTAGAATCAAAACAGCAGACGGGGTCTAGGGCTCCAGTCGTGATTTTTCGCGCTGTGGCGGAACAACGCACCCAAACCTCCGACGCATCCACAGAAATACCGATGGGCACCTTTCGTCGTCTCTTCGGCGCCCGCGGGCCCTCGCCGGGCCCGGAGACACTCGAAAGCGCGATCCCGAGCGAGAGGCCGGTCTCCCCGGGAAAAGTGGTCCCGAGCCCTGAGGATCCCGTCTTGAAGGAAGCAGCAGGGGCGTCGGAGGCCAACCATGAACTTTCGGAGCTCCGCGCGGAGCTCTCGGATCGGCGCTGGGCCCCCGCCCCCTGGCGCGCGGAGCGCGCCGGGGGCGGCGCCGGAGGCGCCGCCAGGGGTCCAGCACAGATCCAAGAAATCCCGCGAGGAGCTCCGACAGTTTATGCCTGTGCAGCTTCCCAGACATCCGAAGACGTGTTTTTTTCAATCCGCGGCCCCAGCGGTCCCGAGCCCGCCCTGCGTGAGCCGGAGACGGGTCCAAGAGGCCTTTTCTGAGCGTTCCCGCATACGCGTGCCCGGAAGCTCTTCAGAGAGGTCTTCGGAAACTCTTTCCAGGTCCTTCCAGAATGTTTCGCTCGAAGCATTTTTGATGGGCCCGATCACGGGCCTTGCAGGCCGAAATCGACGAAAAAAACGCGCTGGAGTCGAGGCCGAAATGGAATGCCGAAATCTTACGCTGTTAGCTCTCCTCCTCGACCTCGGCCGTGGCGGTGTAGCCGCTGAGGACGCGGCCCTCCGAGATGGTGTAGCCCTTCGGCACCCGCACCTCGACGGCGGCGTCCTCGGAGGAGCCGGGCGGGAAGACCACGCGACCTCAGAGGAAGAGGCAACTGCACAAACATCAACCTTCGCGGTTGGGCGTGGCTTAATGGGGGGGTCACAAATGGGGGGGTCAGAAAAGGTTCCCTTTCGTGCCCCTTTCGGGCCCCTCCAGAGCCCCATGGGGGCTCGTTTAGGTACCGTTTGGGTACCTTTTCGGACCACGCTCGCCACCCCCCCCATTTATGACCCCCCCATTACGCGGCGCCCAACGCGGGTTTCCTGGGTCGGCGCCGGGCGCACTCGGAAGAACCCCCCTGAGTGCAAGCACCGGTCGGGGATTCTTGTTCGGCTCTCCGCGCGGGTTTCCTATAGGTCGGCGCTGGGCCCCCGCTGGCGGCGGGCTCCGGCGCGCTGCACGCGCCAGGGATGGGGGGCGCAGCGCAGATCCGAGGAGCCCGCGCGGAGCTCCGAAAGTGTATGCTTATGGTCTTGTTTGTCTCTTCGAGTCCTGCGCCCGCGTGGTTGGTCGGCGTGAACTCGAAGTTGATGCGCTCCGACGAGCCCGACTTCGACAGGGAGGTGCTGAAGAGGTATGGCTTCCAGACAGACTCCTCCGAGGAGTACTGCAGCCAGGGCGAGCTCGTGAACGAGCTCACGGGCGAGCTCCTGCGAAAAACTGACGGGTCGGGCTTGACGCCTTCAAACGGAATGTCTCCGGGTGCCATGCTGTGTGGAATATCTTCAGGTGGACTGGTCTGGATGGGCGCAGCATCGCCGATATTCGGCATGATGCTGAAGTAGCCCCAGTCTCCCAGCCAGGGCGACGGCTGGTGTGAACACTTCAGGCCCTTGAACGAGTTGGAGCTCCTGTGGACGGGAGGGGTGGAACAGAGAGAGAGAGAGAGAGATACAGAGAAACAGCGAGCGAAATAAAGAGAGGGATGAGGAGAGAGAGAGAGAGAGAGAGAGAAAGAGAGAGAGAGAGATAGAGAAAAACAGAGTTGGAGAGAGAAAGAGAGAGAGAGAGAGAGAGAGAGCGAGACGGAGAACAGCACGTAAGTACAGAGAGAGAAAGAGAGAGAGAGAGAGAGAGAGAAAAAGAGAAAGAGAGAGAGAGGAGAAAGAGAGAGAGAGAGAGAGGGAGAGGAGTGGGAGAGGAGTGGGAGGGGGAAGACGAGGGGAAATGAGAGGGGAAGGAAAGAAGGTGGAGGGAGAAGGGAAGAAGGCGAGGGGGAGTGGCGATAAGGGGAAAAGAAAGGGGAGGTGGAAGGGGGCTGCTACGGGACTACGGCATCCAGACGAAGCCTGAGGGAGGTGGAGGCGGGGCGGAGGGCGGGTGGTATGCGCGAGAGACGGAAGGGGGCGCTAAGAGGGAGAGGGAGAGCGGGAGGAGCAGTACGCAGTGGGGAGAGCAGGTGAGGGACAGCAGAAGAGGGCGCAGGCGGGAATCCGCGTGAACCACCACGGGTTGTCGTGCAAGTTGCCATTGGTGTGGGGGACCCAGTCGTTGAAGCCCCAAGGCCGCTTCACCTGACAAGGGAAGAAAGACCAACGTAAATATCAACTTTCGGAGGTCCGCGTGGATTCCTGGATTTGCGCTGGGCGCGCCAGGGGCGGCGACGGAGGCGACGCCAAGGGACTCCAGCGCAGATCCAAGAAATCCACGCGGAGTTCTGACAAACAATCCCTAATCAGCGCGAGCATCTAGGGGTCCTTCCTTTCTCTGCAAAAGGGTTGGGTGGGTAACACGAGGATGTCTTTGGTGGCCGCCCCATGGTCGCCCAGCGTAGCCTGCATCACATATCTTGCACCACATGGCGTGCACCACGCAGACTGCACCACGGAACTTGCACCACATGGCCTGCACCCGTGCAGCTTGCACCTCCCGGCTTGCACCGCATCCCTGGCACCACGTGGCAGGCACCACCACGCAGAAAGGCACCACACAGCCTGCACCACACAGCTTCGGCACAACAACGTGCGTCTTACCGAGGAATTCGCCGGCTCGTGCTCCTCCACAACTCGGGCGAGCCCGCCCGCCAAACCTCCGCGCCACCGCCCCGTGCTGCCCCGTGGGCGCTCGTGGGCGCTCGCGGGCGCCCCCGTGCGCCGGGTGGGGCCCCCCGGGGCTGCGCCGCGCTGCCGCCTCATGGGCGCCACGTGCGCGGGGGCGAGCCGCCGAGGCTGCGCCACGTCGTCGCCCGCACCGCCTCGTGGGCGCTCGTGGGAGCCTCGCGCGCTGGGCGGTTTTTTACACCGCACAGCCTCCACCTCCAGCTCACGCAGCGTATAGCACACGGCACAGCGTGCACCGCACAGCTCTCATCTCCACGGCGCACGCCGCATGGCTGACACGACACAGCTTACACCACATGGCTCACGCTGCATAGCTTCCACTTCCATAGTGCAATGCATCACTCTTTGGGGTCCACGCTGGCTCTTGTGCAGTTTGTGATTCACCGACCCTCGAGGGAAAAAACGCGGTGACCATCACCAATAATGAACGCGGACACGTAAGCGCCGACCTTGGTCACCGCCCATCTTGGTCACAACCGATTCGTGGATCGTCATCGCGAGTCGGCGACGGCCAAACATGGACCATGTCCCATGACCAAGATCCCGCGACATCTCGGTCATGGCCAACGTGCTTCCTCCCTCGATAACCTGAGGCAGGGTATTGCCGTTGCTGAAGCGGTCGGACAGCTCCGTGCCAGCCAGCAGCTGTACCTGCTCCACTGGGGGCAACCCCGCGGCTGCGGAAGCAACGAGCCCTGCGGCCGCAGGCGCAAGGGCAACGAACACGACGCTACAAAGCGGAGGGAGAAGCGCCGTGCATGGCGGGCGGCCGCATAGAGCCATCCATGAACGAGGGGTAGTGTACGGAAATTTGGCGAAAGGAGAAACAACCTGGGCCAGAAAGTATGTGCGCGCGCGTGCGCGGGAAGCGGCCAACCATCTCTCGTGTTCACTGTCTGCGGCCGGGTCGTTGCGCCAGACCGCCCCCAGCTGCGCACAGCGCAGAGATTGCTCAAGTGCGTCAGTAGTGCAGTCGTCTGGAAACCGCAGTTGTATTTCTTGGGCTGAGGGTCGCGTGCAGGTGCTTACGGTCGGTACCTTTGCTTAGCGTGTCGCGGCGGCGGCCCTGGCGACACGCTGTGCCCTGCAAGCAGAGAGTGTGATGCTTTGGTAGGCCACCAGCGGCGCGACGCGCTAACCTAAAGTTCCCGACCGTACGGGAGAGAAGGCACAGGAGGAGGAGGCTCAAGAGGCTCAGGAGGAGGAGGAGGAGGAGGAGGAGGAGGAGGAGGAGGAGGAGGAGGAGGAGGAGGAGGAGGAGGAGGAGGAGTAGGATGCGAAGGCGCAGGAGGAAGAGCACGGGGAAGACACGGAGAAGAAGGGGTGAGGAGCCGTCGGCGCCGCGAGTGGCACTTTTTGCGGCCGGGAAGCGTGTCACAACAAAGGTCGGCGGCCATGCCCACGTAGCCGGAGAAGAGAGCAGGCAGCGCAGAACCCAACCCGAGAAAACAGCACGACACATCTGCATCTTCTGCCTCCACTGCGCTCGCGCTCTCTGCATTGAACTCTTCGCCTTTCGTGTCCTTGCAACCTCCACGAGGGACTTGGAGTCGCCTACTGAAGAAGCACCCACGACGGACGGAACCTCCGCGTCGACGCCCCGACGGCGTCCGAACGAATCTTGCGGAGCTCCTTTCCTGCCGCAGGTTCCCTCCTCCTCCTCCTCCTCCGACCTCCGCCCCCGCGTTTCCACCTCCTCCTCCTCCTCCACACCGTTTTCTCCTCCTCGTCCTCCTCTTCCTCCTCCTTCTTCTGCTGCTGCTGCTGCTGTTCCTCCTCCTCCTCCTCCTCCCTCCCGCCTCTTGCTCCTCCTGCTCCTTCTCCTCCGCCCCGCTCCTCGACTACTCCTGGTTGCTGCTCCTCCCTCCCGCCTCCATCCCTTTTCCCTTATATAGATCTTGTGTTTATATGTATGTATATGCATCTTGACATATATATATATATACACATACATGTTAGAACCATCGCGCGCGCTTCGCGCGCGTTCAAGTTCCAACTAGGCTGGATGGTCGAACCCTTGGGGATCTCTATGTTCTGGTACGTCTTCTCCGGGGCTTCCAAGAACCACGAAGACGGCCCAAGTGGCTTCCAAGACTTCCTACGGTCCACACAAGGCGGCCTAAGGCAGGCTCAAGGAACACTTCCTGGGCCCTTGTATTCGCCGCGGCTGGACGTAACCGGAGGAACAGGGAGGAGAAGGGGAGGCGAAGGGGTTCCCTGGAGAGAAGGAGGATGAGGAGGAGTTGGAGAGGGTGGAGGAGGCCGCAGGGGAGGAGGAACCTGAGGAGGAGGAGGAAGAGGAGGAGGAGGAAGAGGAGGAGGACATCTGTGATTCTTTTTTCCCAACCATCCTGTGGTGTTGGGTCCGGTCCCCGCGTCTCCTTCCATCCTCCTCCCTCCTCCTCCCCCTCCTCCCTGCGTTTCACCGACCCAGTACAGCGCTTCGTGGCCCCATAGGGAGCGCTCCACCTAAGGCCCCAGTGGGGATGGCCGCATGCGTCCGCCACACCCAGTACAGCGTTTCGTGGCCCCACAGGGAGCTCCATCTGCGGCCCCAGTGGGGGTGCCCACATGCGTCCGCCACACACAGTACAGCGCTTCGTGGCCCCATAGGGAACTCCACCTAAGACCCCAGTGGGGGTGGCCACTAAACCCAGTACAGCGCTTCGTGGCCTTATAGGGAGCTCCACCTAAGGCCCCAGAGAGGGTGGCCACATGCGTCCGCCACACCCAGTACAGCGCTTCGTGGCCCCATAAGGAAACCCACCCAAGGCCCCACTGGCGGTGGCCACATGCGTCCGCCGCACCCAGTACAGCACTTCGTGGCCCCATAGGGAGCTCCACCCAAGGCCCCACTGGCGGTGGTCACATGCGTCCGCCGCACCCAGTACAGCGCTTCGTGACCTCATATGGAGCCCCACCAAAGGCCCCAGTGGGGCTGGCCACATGCGTCCGCCACACCCAGTGCAACGCTTCGTGACCCCACAGGGAGCTCCACCTAAGGCAGCAATGGGGGTGGCCACATGCGTCCGCCACACTCAGTACAGCGTTTCGTGGCCCCATAAGGGACTCCACCTAAGACCCCAATGGGGGTGGCCACATGCGTCCGCCACACCCATGTCGGCACACCCTTCACACGTTTCGTGGCCTTATAGGGAGCTCCACCTAAGGCCCCAGAGAGGGTGGCCACATGCGTCCGCCACACCCGGCACATCGTTTCGTGGCCCCATGCGGAGTTCCACCGAAAGCCCCGTGGGGGTGGCCACATGCGTCCGCCACACTCAATACAGCGTTTCGTGGCCCCATAGGGTGCTCCACCCAAAGCCCCAGTGGGGGTGGCCACATGCGTCCGCCACGCCCACTACAGCGCTTCGTGGCCCCATAAAGGGGCTCCACCTAAGGCCCCAATGGGGGTGGCCACATGCGCCCGCCACGCCCAGCATTGCGTTCCGTGGCCTTATAGGGAGCTCCACCGAAGGTCCCAATGGAGTTGTCCGCATGCGTCCGCCACACTCAGTACAGCGCTTCGTGGCACCATGGGGAGTTCCACCTGCGGCCCCAATGGGGGTGCCCGCATGCGTCCGCCACACCCAGTACGCCCCTCACACGCTTCGTGGCCCGTTAGGCCCCCGCCACGCCCAGTATTCACAGTCATATACATTTACACTAGGCGTATCCATGGGGATCGCCACCGAAGAAGATATTCACAATTGCGGTACTCCCAGCTGCAAATGGTTGGGTCCTTCGCCAAGACATTTTTGAAAGCGTAGCAAAGCTGCCAGGCGAACTTGAAACAAACATGGAATGCTGGAATTCAAATGTTCGCAACCATCCTGTGGTGTTGGGTCCTCGTTTTGACGAGACAGCGCCCCGCGTCTCCTCCTCTCCTCCTTCCTCCTCCCCCTCCTCCCTCACTTTGGCACACCCCTCAGACAATTCGTGGCCACATAGGGAGCTCCACCCAAAGGCCCCAGCGGCTGCTCTCGCATGCGGGACCCCCACACTGCACAGCGCTTCGTGGCCCAATAGGGAGCTCCACCGAAGGCCCCAGTGGCTGCTCTCGCATGCGGGACCCCAGCTCTGTACAGCGCTTCGTGTCCCCAAAAGGAAGCTCCCCTTCTTGCCTCTGCCCTCATCAATATGAGTCTCCCCTTCGCCGTACACCGTCTCGTGGCCCCATAGGGGGCTCCACCAAAGGCCCCAATGGCTGCGCTCGCATGCGGGGCCCCCGTACTGTACAGCGTTTCGTGGCCCCATAGGGAGCTCCACCGAAGGCCCCAATGGTTGCGCTCGCATGCGGGAACCCCGCCCAATACAACGTTTCGTGGCCCGGGAGCTCCAACGAAGGCCCGTGCGGCTGCTCTCGCACGTGGAACCCCACGCTGTACAGCCTTTCGTGGCACCATAAGGGGGCTCTACAAAAGGCCCCAGTGTCTGCACTCGCATGCGGAACACCCGCCAAGCATGGCGTTTCGTGTCCCTATAGGGAGATCCACCAAACGCCCAAATGGCTGCGCTCGCATGCGGGATTCCCGCCCAGTGCAGCGTTCCGGGCCCTATAGAAGGCTCCACCGAAAGCCCCAGTGGGTGCCCTCGCATGCCGTTCCCCCACCCAGTACAATGCATAGTGGCCCCCACAGGGAGCTCCACTGAAGGCCCCAGTCGCTGCACTCGCATGCGGGACCCCCACCTAGTACAGTGCTTCGTGGCCCCCAAAGGGAGCTCCACTGAAGGCCCCAGTGGCTGCACTTGCATGCAGTTCCCCCCGCCCAGTACAGCGCTTCGTGGCCCCATAGGGAGCTCCACCGAAAGCCCCTGTGGCTACTCTCGCATGCGGAACCCCCACGCTGTGCTGTACAGCCTGTCGTGGTCCCATAAAGAATTTCACCCAAAACCCCAAGAACTGCACTCGCATGCGGGACCCCCACGCTGTAAAGCGTTTCCTGACCCCATAAAAAGCTCCACCAAAGGCCCCAGGGGCTGCACTCGCATGCGGGACCCCAACCCAGTACAGCGCTTCGTGGTCCCATAAAGAGCTCCACAGGAAATCATCAGTGGCGATGTTCGCATGCGGTTCCCCCGCCCATTACAACGCTTCGTGGCCCCATGGGGAGCTCCGCCCAAGGCCTCAGCGGCTGCACTCGCATGCGGACCCCCCCCGCCCAGTACAACGTTTGGAGGCCCCAATGGCGGCCCCGCCCAATTGCGGCGCACCCCTCGCTCGTTTCGCAGCCCCATGGCGGGTTCCGCGTAAAGCCTCAATGGCAACACCAACATGGCGGCCCCGCCCCACATCGGCACACTCTTCGCATGCTTTATGGCTCCATGAGGAGATCCCCCGAAAGCGATACCCGCAATGACGGTACTCACAGCTGCGTATGGCTGGGTCCTTCGCCGGGATACTTTTGTTCAAATGCACTCGGGGCCTCTCCTGGGGCTCTTTTGGATCTTTTTGGGGCTTCTTGGGGACCTCTTGAAGCCTCTTGGAGGCCTCCTGGGGCGAAGACCTTTGGTTCTCGGTTCACGTTTTTGATCCTGGGCCGCGGTTGTGGCCCTCTCGGGCCGTCTTGGGCGTCTCTTCGGCCGTTTTGGAACGTCTTGGGGCCGTCTTGGGGCGATGTTGAAACCCTATTGGACCGTCTTGGGGCGATCCTCGGGGCCTCTCGGGGCGTCCTGCAGCGTCGGGAAGCGGAACAGGCGGAACCGCCAAACTTGTTCACACCTGTGGAGCATGACTGCTCTTTTACCTCTTCGAGCTCTGTTGGAAAACCTGTTGGAGGCCCCTTGGGTATCTTGGGGGCCTCTTGGGTCGTCTGGAAGCCGTCTTG